GTTGCTATTGCCAAGAGAGAAGAACATAATCAAAGAAAAGAAACCAAGGATAAGGAGGGCATAGAAGTGTACGGAATGTTGAAAGAAGGAATAGGGTTCAAGGAGTACCTACTAGATGGACCAATGGATGCAGGGACAAAGCTGAAGATCAAATTCAGGACCGGGGGCATTGGCCTTCGAGAACGTAGCCGAAGACTTCGGAAGGTAGACGATGAAGACGCCAAGTTCAAATGTGATTGCGGCTCCGAGTGCGAAGACCGTGTTCATGTAGTCGTGGAATGTCGGCTGTACAACAAGGAGAGGGAAGCGTACGCGACTGAGCTGGGAAAAGTAGAATAACAGTACAGGGAGATGTTTGAGGCATGGGATAGCCAGGAGAAGACGTTAGCTGGACTGGGGCATAGTAAAGTGGGTTGAAAAGGCGGGAAGTAATATCGGTAGGATAGATAGACTAGGGAAGACATTTTTGAGCCACCTTTGGCAAAGTAGGAAGGAATGATTGGACATCGGTGACCAGTCCAGTGGGAACCCATGCTCCGTCCTCTCGAGGACGCGTGGTCGTCAATGGTCTAACCGCTAAGGCATGCAAAACATGAGAGTACGCCCGCCCCCCCCCGCCACCAAGATTGGCACGTAAATCAGGGGTGTTCCATGGTTTCCACATGGAAGGCCCCTTGAGAAAATGCGGTGGTAGGTTGCCACTGGCCCTTATTATTCCCTGCAGAGAAACACCTGCTGCAGAATCCCCGGGAGGTGGTTCCACCGCATTTGTTTTCGCCTATGGGTTTCAGAATCAAGTGCAGCAACCTGTCCTTTTTTTCCATGCAGTTTTGTTCAGACGGGCTATCACACACCCTGGTTTATCACACACACCCTTAGGGGCCCCTGCGAGCTGCACTTTATCACCCGGCCTTGTACATGAGACACCCCCCACACGATACCACACCCGGTGTTAATATTTTCAACGCCCAACATGTGATCACCGGGGTGTGTTATCTTGTGTCGTCTACGGTGGTAGTCTAGATTGCAGGAGGAGCTGCACAGACAGTAGTTAACCAGCGGCCAGAGCCAAAACAGAGGCCGGAGCACAGACAAGAGGCCGGAGCCAACACAAAGGCCGGCGCCACATCGCCAAAACAGAGGCCGAAGCCAAATAAGAAATACATACTTGTAGTAAGGGCCGAAGCCGACGAAATGATTATTTGAGGATACAGAAGAAGTAGTTTACTTGCTATATAATTCGAAACGGTCATCATCCTCTGTTGTTGTATGCATAGCCGCATTCACGAGCGAGGACAAGAAGACTTGCCTCAAATCCATCGCCGGCGCCGTCTTCCGATTGTCCAAGAAAGACCCCTCCACATCATCTCCACATTGAACTCCAGCAGCATACCATACCACCACCGGTACTGCAGTGTGGGCTCATGAGACACCACGGACGGCGGCGTCCCATCCCATCCTCCCGAAAGTCCCTCCTTCGTGCGTGAAAAGGCGGCAGCAGCGGCAGCGAATAACACCCGGCCGGCGAAGGGAGGTGCTCAGTTCCCATCGTCTCGGGCTTGAAGGCCGTGGCTGTCGTCGTCGGTCTATCTATGGGGTATGACTATAAAATATACAAGTCATACCCCATAATAATAGTCAGCAGCACTACTACTAAGATTATGATTCGTATGCTGCCGTACGTTCCCTACCACTCATCACCAACAACAACAGCAATCATCATCATCATCAGTCCCTGGACTTGGGAGCATATATATATGTACTGCAAACATGTCGATGCCCACGTACATAACCCTGCCGGTCGCCGGTGGTGTAGTTGGTAACCTCGAAACCTTCTAGATAGAGGCCAGGTCAGTCAGGGGTTCAAATCCCGGCGTAAGCGAGCTTTTCTTGCAAAGTGAGTTTTTTTTCTCTCGCTTCCGCTCCTGGCCTAGTGGATAGCGCTAGTAGTTCGTGTGTACACAGAGGGAAGAGAGTGCTGAATTCTTCTCGCATTAAAAATCGAAGGCAAAGTACCGCAGGAGGGGAGGGTAGAGAGTAGAGAGGGGCTCTTCTGTGGGACCACGAGTTGGAGTAAACGGCACTGAACTGGTGCTGTGAGTGCTAATTTGAAGTGAATAAAAAATAAAAAATAATAAAAAGAAATACAACCGGCCGCTTCCTCTGCAACTAACTACTTGTTGTATTATATTGCGTGTACAGAGAGTGTTACACACGCTTGGACCCCACACTAACTACTACAATGGTGATCTTACAAAAAGCATACAAAGTTTGTTATACAATTGGAAATAAACGATTAATATTCGCTACTGATTCGTAACCATGCTTGCTATATAGTACGGTCTGGTGGGTACGCCTACTACATACTGCTGCTGTGCTTGCTGCCTTAGATATAGTGTATCTCGAACGGGTAGTCTTTGTTGTGTCGGTCTTTTGTGCTCCCCACCACCTTAAATTTTGCCGCCAATTCGCCGCCCTTTTTTTTTTTTCGGCGAAATTCATGCATGCATAGTCTACAACAGTAGTTGTCTGGCGACGCGCGTTGCATCCAATCGATCATTTCGATGTAGAGACGGAGCAAAAGAAGCAACTTATCATTTTATTTTACCTCCACAGATATATCTACGGGGGGTGGAGGACACGAAGTAAGAAGAGGACGCAGCGCAGGATAACTAAAACTTATAGTATATATTAGAAATTAATTAGACATGCAGCGGGCGGGGGATGTGCATCGGTGTCAGTCGTGAGGAGCGATCGCCGCGGGAACACCTGCTGATCTGCTGGATACGGGACTTCTTTCGTCGGGATTTTGCATTTCGCCGCGTTGCAGAATTTGGCACCGTCAACGAGGCGGGCTTCAAAAAGAGCAACGACGTAAAGCTAAGGTACAGCAGTACATACATACTGCCGCGCAACCAGCAGATGATGATGATAAATTTAAATTTTCTCGTGATAAATAAATGCCGTCACGTCCCTAGAGTTGGTTGGACGGGCGTGAATCGTGTTGTTGTTTGTATGAAATGCCCCGTTTTTGTCAGCACTTTTTCTACCATGGTTTAAGTTTTTTCGTGGAGGGGGGGGCCGAAGGTTCTTTGGAATTGTTCTAGGCCAGTCAGTATTGTTGTTGTTGTTGTTGTCTTCACATTAAAAACCTTTCCGATCTCTCTCTACCCAGTACCTTCATATGTCCGTACTGATCCAACACTTGACGCGGTCGATTCCCGCGGTCACAGGCTAACTTACTTACCCAAAAAGATACGCTCAAACAAACTGGCCCCGAGGGGTCCACAACAAGTAGTCAGTAATAGAAATTAACGACAGATATTCTGGAGTCCTCCGCTCCCTCTGCGCGCTATGCGGGGTAGCACCTGAGACTAGGAGTCAGCATCACGGGCCAGAGAGAAAGAGGTACACCCCCTTGGTTCAATCTTGGTGCTTCACACGCAAGCAGAGACAGGGCCATCTGACACAGAAAAAGAAAAAAAAAGAAATGACGCTACAAGTTAAGTATGGATTCATTGCTAATCTATCTTATATTTAGACTTTTTTCTGTAGATAGAGATATCATAGTAAGAAAAAAAAAAAAGGAAACAGGAAGAAAAGAGAAAACGGAAAAGAGAAAAAGAGCTAGTCTACCTGTGATTTGTTTGTCCAGTGTCATACCAGGTGGACGAGATCAGAGCACGCGCTGGTAGCTGACAGCAGTACCGGCAAACTACGCACCTTACCTGTTGTCCAATACACCCCAATTAAACAACAACAACGCGGTGTATCTACCACACAAACTCTCTTCCTCACCTACACATATATGTGTAGACTTCCCTGCATCCACCCTGTCGGAAAAGAATATAGGACAACTGCTGGGACGCCCGTGTCCGTTTCCGTCTCGCGGTGCTAAGCATCGAATGGGGTTCAGCGTAGCAAGCGGTGGAGGACAGCCCGGCGCTTGAACTTCAAGATTGTGGTTCGACTTCTGCGGGTGGTTGCGCAACCCTTGCCCAATCCACACACCATCTTCGGGTGACTCGCTCGCGCGCTTCCTCTTGAGAGCATTGCTGGCCAACGGCCACCAGCAGGCTGAGAACCGCGCGTCAGCGGGCATCTCCACTGGTTGCATTCGTTCAGCATCATCATCATCATCACCGGATTTCCTGCACAAGAAGAAAAGTTCGAAAAGTTTGACGGGAAGGTCAGCCGGAAGAGGCGCAAGAGAGGAGGAAGGAGGAGAGGGCATATATTTCGGAGACAGCAGCCCATGGGGTAAGAGAGAGAGAACAATACATGCACACACACGTGGCAATAGATGGTACCAGAGATCGGCGCGGGTAAGCTACAGCAGCATGCATGTGTCCTCTGTCCCTCCTCCCATGTGGCGTATACCTGGGCGCAAAGCAATTTTCTTGCGGATTGTTGCGTTTGCTGGGGGCCCGCCACCACATCATCGATGAAGCGATCAAGTGAAGCGGGCATCTAGAAAAGCCAAGGAACATGTACTGTAGCTATGAAGCACTTGCGCCAAACATTGACCCACGTCGTGACACCAAATGCCAAGGCCAACAAGGCGGTTAGCAATTGTGTTCAAGCTCGGTCGTCACGTGCGCACTTGTTGGTCTGCTGCAGGACACACGCGCGCGTTGTGCAAAGTCGGCGATTCTAACGTTAGAAAATCAGATATTCGCCCCGTGATGAATGCATGTGATTGGGTGGAAGCGTGTACTACATTCAACACAGCAAGATGCCAGATGGCTGTGCTGGCTGACTGCTGATGACGGCGGCCACAAACCGCTTTTTTTTTGGCACAACGAAAGTTAAATAGTACCTCACGTATACAACTCCTGGGTCCGTGGGGGCAGTTGCTGACCTGCTGCAACGCCGGCGTATGCATATGTATGTCAAAGTTTCTGGCATGTTATGTGCGGTCCGAGTGCCAAAGAGAGAGGTTGCAGGTTTCCGCGGTTGGTGGCCTCCGACCTCTTCGGCATTGTTCGCATTGTTCATTGATGACCGCTCAGAAGTTTCGGTCAGTGTTGTATGCATATAGTCTGCAGCATACTTTCGGCTTAACTTTTTTTCTTGTGGCCGGGTGAATGCAGCACGTATCTTGGATTTCGGCGCCTGGGTAGGATATACAGTCAATGTACAGCAGTGTATGCAAACATACATCTCAAGCATGCATATAGTGATCGCGATCGAGTCTACGATGTGACAGCAGTGTACATACCAAATGCGTTGTTTGGTTGCGTACCAACATCGTTCTTTGGTTGCGCGCTGTAGCTCACCCTTTGCGACCAAGTCGTGTGGTTGAGGGCAGGAAGATCGATCACGTCGACTCTTAGGGCTTTTTTTGCGCCTGATGAACCGACTAGAAAACGTCGCACGGGTGTGCAACCCCCCGTCCTCCGGCATATACGTGTGTCCCCAGCAGGGCTGCATCTATCCCAAATTGAACTAATTGTCCCAATCGCTCGGCATCTACTCCCCCCCCCTTCGACACACTTCAAAATATGCATATTATACTCGTTTCGTTGAGTTTCGCAACAAGAAAAAGAGCAGGTGCGCTCGCCCATTCTGTTGCTGAGTGATTCCGTTTCTCGTCTGCATCAAAAAGCATCCTCTGTCAAGTAAGTCCGGCGACGACGTGGGGTAGGCTTGTCAAGTTCCCCCCGTCCGCGTGCAGTTTTGACTATACTACGTACATACGACGTCTGGTTCCTGGGTGCTTGTTTTTTAAGGCACCCATTCGCCCGATGCCCCCCCCCCCCCTACCATTCTTGTCGATTCGAAAGGATCCGGCGCAACAAGGGGAGATGGACGTCAGAGGAACACCACGCTTTTCTGCGCGGGGTCCGCCGCTTCAAGCGCAACAATTGGGTGGGCATAGCCACCCTGCTGCCCACTCGTACCGTACTGCAGATCAGGACGCACGCCCAGAAGTACTACGCCAAGGTCGACAAGGGGGAGCCATTCCCAGACGAGGTTTGAATCGGTGGGCGCGCATCCCACGTAATAATTAATTAAAGCAGCTCTCTTTGTTCGTGGTACGGGTACCTAAAGGCATGAAGGGGTGCATAAGTTTCAAGAGTATTTGGTTGTAGAGGGTTAGGGAACATGTGTTTCGGCTCTTGCGGTCCGTTGAGGTCAACATGGCCCGGGGTCTGCGCGCATGCATGCGGTTGCATGCAAACCAACTATTGTTCTTATTTCACGTTTTCGGGATACATGCTGCTGTACGCTACGTGCACGAACAACACAGCAAATACAGACAGACGCGAAACCCCGAGAATACAAACCGATTTCGATGCGCATGTATGCGCTATGCTACAGTACAAGAGTACGAAGTAGGCACCCAGAGACGCTTTGTGGACGCCCGGGTAGAGCGCATGAACCTTTCGGGGGTATGTATGTAAACGGAACTCCTTGGGGGAGTTCTCGAGAACAGGGTGATTTAAAATGTATATGCGTACTCCGTATGTATGTACGGGACAGGCACCTCGAGGCGAAGTGATCCCCGATGGCGTTGTTAGCGTTTTCAGTTCTGTATGGGAACTTTCACGGACACAAAAACGGGTGTGCGTGCACACACTTTTGTTGTTGCTGTGGGCCTGTAGCCAACCCACGATGTCGAGAGCCTAAACACCTGGGAGGAAGCAATCCAGACACGGGAAAGTAAGGGCAACCGGGGATGCTTGCGCCAATGCCACGGTGTTCGGCTCCAACGGTTGGAACATGCCAAGAGAGCAAGCGCAGGAATGTCGCTCGGTGCTCGGTGATGCAAGCAGTCGCCTGCGACATCTTAACACTGCTGTGTGTTTGTCGTAGCGGGGGGATGCTCAAGAGCATGTCGGGGTCTCAACGTTGCAGGAAAACAAGCAACAGCCACAACATCAGCAGCGACATCTGTGCCGGAATGCGTGCTTTGAATTTCCTCTTTGATAGCCCTCCCGGGGGCCGGGGGAGGTTACACACAGAACATCCCCAGGGCATTCACAAACGTTTTATGAGTCACCGGTGCTTTCTTTTGGGGGGGGGAAGGGATCCGATGCTGTTATTGCGGGTGCACAATCGTGTCATTTATCGAGGAAAACCTGGCTTGAAAGCCACACCCGGGGTTCCCGTGTTTTCGAGTCCCTCGGAGGTGGGTACCCAGTTCTGCTGTGCCCGTGTTTATTATTCAGGGTGGGCTTCCATCTCAGATCCTGCAGCAGAGCTTTAAACGCTACCGATCCGACTCGAGCTGGCGCACCTCTCATGTTTTTCGCTCACTGCACTGAACTAACTGCCGTTTACTCCCGCTCGTCGTGTATGCCTCCGCCGCTCTTCTCTCTTTTCGACTTGCCTGCCCCTCAGCCATACCCCAGTCAGCACGAAGCCGCCGCAGGTAAATCTAGCGCTGCCGCCGGTGCCTACCTGTACGAACCCCCGTCGCCACCGCCGCCGCCGCTGCCGCCGCCGCAGCGGCAACCGCAACAGCAGCAGCAACCGCAACAGCAGCAGCAACCGCAACAGCAGCAGCAACAGCAGCAACAACAGCAGCAACAGCAACAGCAGCAACTGCAGCAGCAGCCACTTCAGATAGCCGGCGATCCCACGATCGTCGTGGTTAACGGTTGGATGGAGTCACGCTCTGGGTTCTCTCAATTGCCAGAGGCTGGTGTCGGAACCAGTAGCGCCGGCGGGAGCGGGAGCGGCGGAGGGAGAGGCGTTGAGCTCATGCCCGACCCACGGTACCCAGACGTTCTGACTGGCGGGGCTCAGCAACAACCGGCGCCGCCTGGACCAACGGGGTTTGCGAGCTGTGGCAGTGGCGCGGCTAGGTTCACGATGCTGCCCCCCACGGACATGGTTCTCAGCGGCGGTAGTACCACCTCAGGTGGTCCTTCGTCTGCTGACACCTCTCGGGGTATCTTGGACGGGGGAGGTTATCACCAGTATGACTACCCCACGGCATCTTCCCTGCTTGCTGCTTCGGGTTCCGCTGGGTGAGAGCTCCGTTTAGTTCATAGCGACCGAGTGTCAAGATTTTTTGCCACGTTGTCCCCGAACCACAGTAGTGAAGTCGAAACGCCCAAATGTTGTGCGAAGTTGGGCGATTTTTGTTGTTCATCGTACGGTGTTCACTAGGTTCGAGTGCGGCCGTTTTAACGCCGTGCGTAGGTTGTATTCGCGTGGCTCAGAATTGACGAACAACTCGCAACCAGTGTCGTCACCAACATTTTTCCGAAGTTGATGAGTGCTATTTTTTGCCATCATACTTTCCAGGACAAATAACGTCATTTCAGCGGCATGATGAATATGACACGTGGTTCCCCCAAGAAACACTGAAGGAATCAATTGTTCAGGCAAAAAGAGGTTTTGAAACTGTTGAGCGCGTCAGGCGCTTGATTTGTGAGGCAGCGGAAGCAGGGAGGCGGCACGAGTAAAACACTTCCGACAGTTATTTTCAGCAAGTGAACGAGTTCTCCTGGCATGCGGGGACCGTCACTCTGTCGTTCTTCGAAACCTCACAGATGACGATACTATAGACAAACGCCCCATGATCTAATCGTTGATATCTGCTGTAGATGTGGGCGTTCTGCACATATGCCTTGAAACTACCCTTACTTGTTTTCGGGGGACCTCCGTCTTGAAAAATCGCTCAATGGATCATACTTTGGGGTTTGGATAGACGGGTTACTGTTGGAGAAGTGAGGAAGTTCGGGAAGACTAATATGATCATCGGCTACAGATGACTTCGGCACAAGAAAGCTCTCGGCGAAGCGTGTGCATGGCGTGCGACGCACTTGGGTGGTTCCTTGCCCCTACACGGCTGGGAACAAGGCAAAAAATGAAGTGCTTCCGACAATAAACGCTACGATTAACTTTCCGATGTTCACCACCACCGTCACCGACGCCTCACAGTGACCCCTGCAACTCTGCTTTTGTCTTTCTACCCCCTCTCCTCCCACCCGCAGCTTCGGCACTACAATGGACGCCCCAACCGATACGTTGCCGATGACGATGGCGCCGTTGCCGGAGTGGGGTACAGTCTCCGGAACCGACAACAGCGTGATGATGACTTCGACAGCGTCGCCTCCGCCTTCCTTCGCAGCAGCGTCACGGCCCCTCTCCCCACCGCCACCCTACTGCGGCTCTGCCGTCAACCCCACTAGTAGGTTCGCCGCAAGCTCCGCCGCTAGCTGTGCCGAGAGCGGGGGCGGCAGCTTCCCGCTGGGGAGGGACGGAGGTTTCCATGAGCAGCAGCAGCAGCATGAGTTCAGTAAGCCTCTCGTATTCGGCACGGCAGCCACAGACAGCAGTCACAATGACAGCATCCAAGGCGGGATGACGCTGACGGAGCACCTGCAGTATCATCAGCAGCCGCACCAGCAGTACCAGCACCAGCGCGAGGAGCTTCGGCACCCCCAGTCCGAGCAGAAACACCAGTATGTCGCATCTGAGGGGGATAGAGGGGTTGAGGTTGCATACGGGGGACAACCAAATCAGCAGCAACAGAGCCAGCTGCAGCAACAACAGCAACGGCAGATTCACCAGCAGCAGCATCAGCAGCAACAGAATCAGCCACAGCGACAGCAGCAACAACCGCACCAGCAACAGCACGAGAGTCAGCAGCACCAGCACCAGCAACGACAAGAGCAGCACCAGCAACAGCAACAGCAACAGCAACAGCAGCAGCAACAGCAGCAGCAACAGCAGCAACAGCAACAGCAGCAACAGCAGCAGGCGCTGGAAGACCTGGTGCCCTTCGACGAATTGCTGGACATGGACTTACTAGACGGTGACGTCACTAGCAATGGTGCGGGAATCGAGACGGACAATTTCGGTTACGATTTCGACCCTGACCTGGCCATCGATTTCGGGATGCTGTAGATGGGTGGGTAATTTGCTGACATGTAGATAGACGACGCAAAGGCGCTCGCTGAGTTAGTCGGGCTGGGTTTAGAATCGAGATTACCGAAGCAGTCAGTATCCTATACGTTGAACGTATGGGACTACCCATTTGAGTTGTGTTGCGTGGGAGTGGTACTCGGGGTGTAAGCCCTCGGGGTTGTGTGCTAAGGTGAGAATAATGTGATTTCAATTGTCTCGGTATCTGAGTGCCCTACTGTAGCGGTTCACTCCTACGTCATGCTTATGTATGACCTTGCGGGGTTTCCAACAGATCTGAATTCGTGCTTGCTCTTTCTTCAATTTTTTCTGTTTGCCTTGCTCGAAAAAGGTGGTGGGGGTTCATGGCCGCGCTAGGTGGCGAACAGAGGCAGCACCAGTTTTTCTTACGGCAGTGCTGTGAAGTAGAAGTATTGATTTGTTTTTTTATGTGTTGGGCTCGTGGGTCGTCTCCATGGCGCCGGGTGGGGGGTCTATGCAGCGTTGGGGTAGTCCTCGAGTCGGAAGGTGTGAATGGCTTCTTCCGCTTCGATCGGCAGCAGCATCAAAAGTAGTACCTTTCAAGCGTATTTCTCAAACAATTTTGCCGTTCCTTGTACTTGTATGTCTCTTTTGGCCTTGGGTGTCCCAGCAGTGTATCTTCGTGGACCCTTTATTGCGATCGTTTTTTCTCCCAGACTACAGGTCGCTTGGCGATGGTTAAGATGCTTGTCGTATACCTTTATTTGTTGTCTTTTCCTCTGGAGGAGGCTGCCGTGGTCGGCGTATCGTTGCGCGTTGCATCATTTTGAGTCTCGCGGTGACGACCTAGCTCCGCGCAACATTCTGAATAAATGTCGATGATCGGAATGATGTCGGTGTGGGGGTGAATGCCAGCAAGCAACAGCTGCTCGCCCTGCTGATAGAGTCGTGCAGACCGTATCCGACCTGTCATCGTGTCCGAACGTGTATCCCCAGAACTGTTTCGCGACGCTTCTTTATTGACGCGGTCTTCGAGACTGCGGATACATCGAGGTGACATGAAACTCGGCCCTTGTTTCCAATTGGTGTGCGTGGCTTGTGTCTGGTCATGTTGAAGTTATTTTTTAATGTTTCAAGGAAGTTTCAAGGAAGGAGATCTGCGAACAATTTGTGTTGTTCATCCTTGACGATGGGTGCTCGTGCGTGTGTGTGTTGAGCGTGTTCTCGGTGTCGTTGTTCTTTGCTGCGTGGCAAGTATTTGGATGAGGATGATGCGTGTTGGTTTACGAAGGTGGTGGGCTGGGATATTTGTGTTGTTTCGTCCGACAGTCAAGGTACGCCGAGCGAAGGCGAGCGGGCCGATGTTTACTGCTTGGCGTTGAGAAACGTGTGTCGATACGAAACGACCAAGGTATTTCCGTACCTGAGGTTGTTGGAGTGATTCTTCGAAGGAGGAACCTGCAGGCAATGTTTTTTGTGACATTTCCAGAGAACGTTTGCCTGCAAGTGTGGGTACACAGTAAACCCGCCTCTTTTGTTGATGGATGGCAAGTGAGTTAAACCCACGCGTGTCACCAAGAGTCTGTGTCCGCTGGAGCGCAAGAGGAACCCTGTTCAGTTTAGGGAAGAGCCGATTCAGTAGGTCGTTTGACTCGTCAAATTTTTGACACGTCGATATTTTTTGTTCGTATATGTTGGATTGGTTTAGACCTTTTTCGAATGTCGTGCGGCTTGTCGAGGAGGAACAAAATAAATCAAATTGCTGCGCAAGAAGACGGTGCAAGCGGAAAACACTGCTGGCAAAAGATAACTGGCAGCAGCCCTTGCTCGCGGCATGGGGGCATGGCGGCCGGCGTACATCTATTGCATGGGTGTTGTGGCAAAGGCGGGATGTCGGGCGGACCGCGGGCCGTGCAGCAGATGTCCGACAAGCGAAGAAAATAATGCACTTGATTGTGAAGGGTGAGTACACATCTCGAGCGTCTCTCGGCGTCGTTCATAACGCGCGAAGGGGGGAATACACGCGAATGATGAGGCCCGGGGTGTCAGAACGATGAGCCCCGGGGATGTCGTCAGAGCCCTTGGCTTGTGATTGGACTTGTGATTGGACCAAGAAATGAGGAACGCGCCCTCTGCCCAGTGGCGATGCTTGGTGTTTGTGTTTATTCCTCTCCAACTTGTAACCACATCTGAATTCTCTACTCAGTGCTTCCAAAACGACACTGGTCTTCTTGCAGATCTTAACCAAGATCCCGTGGTTCCGTAGAGTAGCACGCAAACAGCAATCAATCGATCACGCCGTTTGCTTAAGAAAGTCCATGGAAGGAACTCCATGCGTGCAAAAGTGGCCACGGAATATTCGACAGGATCGTTGCGTGCAAGAATAGTTTCAAGGAACATGTACGTGGAATCTCATGATCGTTTATTGAGTATTGCAGTCAGTTTCTTGTGCTATTGAAATCTTGCAATCACAGCGCACTCGACTGCTGTTGAAACGCTATGCATTCATTCGCGGGGGGGCAGTGAAACGCAAGACTCTCACACTCATTCATACCGCAAGCACAATGTTGATTGAAAAGGATATTCGTTGTCGGGCGTCCGCAACGCGCCTGCCCTAGAAACTACGCACGCGCTTGCACAAGCTATTGTTCGGTGTGTGACGCATATGTAGGTGCTACAGTATGATCAACCTTTTTTTGCACAATCACGTACACATGAACATGCAGTAGTAGTAGTGTGGTTGCATTGGCTCTGCTTGCTGTTGATTTCTTACTCCGAGATGATAAGATGGTTTTGTTTTGGACGACAAGAAGTTACGCGGGGAGGGAGCAGGTCCACTTGAGGTACTCACAGTTGCTGAATATCTTGTTGTTTATCTTCTTTGACGGGGTCTGCTTAGTAGGAAGCTCTCTTTCTGCAGATACGAGCAAAACACAGCGAAACACCAACTAACTCCCCCTCTTTCTACACGTTCAATTGTTGTTTCCTTTTTGTTTGCAGCATGCCGTTCGTTCCACTTGGACCCCCAACAGCATACACCCCCCCCGGCACACAATATTTCCCAGATCGAATGACATACCCCAGTACACAACCTTTTTTTTTGTGGGCAGCCGTGTGTAGCCTTTACACGCGTCCAAGAACCGGTTCAAAGACGGGGCGTGTGACCCATGGCAGCGCGGCGGAGACCACACACGCACGTGTTTGACAATACCGCGAAGGGAAGAGGCAGAGTGCCGCCGTTACCTTACAAGATATACAAGGACAAGTGTTCGGCACGGAAGTGGTTTTAGGGCGGAGGAGCCTAAATCACCCCTTGAGTGGGCATCAAACGGCGGCTATAAGCAGACGCAGCTCCTGGCGCCTTCACAGTACGAGCGCAGTATTGTAGAGATATTACTGGACCATCCTACGCTGTAGTCTCGTCTATTTATTTAGTCTAGACGAAAACATCGCCATCACATTCGGGCTTGGTTCGCCAACAACGGTGGCGGGGAGGCAGCTGCATGAACACAGCGGACGCAATGTGTACCACATCCTCCGAGTCTAGTGGTCCACGATCTGTGCCTCGGCCGTGAACCTGCAGTGTTGCTACCAAGCGCCTGCAGGCGTGGGGCGCAGGACCCCACTGCCGCCGATGTTGCTGCCTTGCAAGAGTGAAGAGGTCATCAACATCATCATCACATATCCTCTTCAACTTTAACTGGCATGGCCAGCAAGGTCCCAGGTGGTTTTATTGCCTCGAGATCGGCCAGGACCAGCTCTTCTCTGTGAGATGAACTGTATCAGCCTGACTTGCATCCAAGATCGGGCCAGTTCAGGGTTCCTGGTACAGGAACTGTACTCGTGTACTCCGTAAACTATGTACAACACCGGTGCCGAACCGTTTTCTATTCCGCCGCTTCCCAACGTCTACAGTCAAAGTCAAAGCTAGGATGCCAGGATCCTGCGATCCTACGATCCTAAACATTCGACGGGTTACATAGTCTTTTCGTCAACCCTGCCATTTTTTACACATGCAATAGCCGTGCCACCCTACTCAATCTGCCTAAGCGAACTCTGTGTACTTGCGGCCACAGGTCCGACAAAATTCTTCGACAATCAGCGTACTCGTCTACACAACACCAGGATCTCTCTACATAAAAGATCTCCGGGCAAGGAAGGGGCGTCATGACGCCAGCAACTTCAACGTCGGAAAAGGTGTGCGCGCCAGCTACAAATTACACGTTTTGGTTCTCTTTCCTTCTGTCTCTCATGCGCTTACGTGAGGATATATTCGTAATTCCCAGGTTTCCGCAGCATACATCACCAGCAGTCCTGGGGTTCCCGCGAAGATTTAGCTACCTACAGTACTGTAGCCGTAGGATGCGGGTCTCCGCACAGGGGTGTTAGCGTTTTTCAAAGCTTCACCACTCGACAACTAGGAAGTTAACACTGCCGAAAAGGGCGGTTTTGGAATTATCTCATCGAGGTCTTTCCTTAGACGTGCTGTTTGGCCTTCGCACCCTCCTAGTTGCGGAGTAAGAGAGCTTTGAAAAACGCTAACACCCCTGTGCGGAGACCCGCATCCTTACCGTAGTCTATATATCTATGTACCGTGTGGTACCACGGTTTCTCTAGCACGGTCGTGTACAAGGTATAGCTATCGTTTTTTGCGTTGTTATGGGCATATGAAAAAAGACTCTACAAATCATTTATCCCCACTCCTCGCCCATCGCAGTCTTGCTGCACAACCCTTTTCCTCAGCCCAAAAACTGTTATTTAAGTCGAAGTTCATCGAACTTTATGAAACGTCATCGGTGCTGCATGAGATCTTCAGGACAATCTCATGATGGACCACACCCCACGGTATACATATCATAGAACATGGTGCAATCTCGTGCTGCACCCTGAACTTTGTCTTTTCTTCAAAAATAGTTCTTGCTTTGGCGGTGTTTCGTTTTGCGTGATGATTGAGTGAGGTGATCAGGTCTGCTTGCATTCGTCAAACGAATATCGCCGTCCCATCCTCTCTTGATACACTGTGATTCGACCCCAACCTGAAGAAGACCTCCACCACCAACAACCTCTCTTGTCCTTACTGCGGCCAACTCCAAACAGGCGCTGTAGCAGAGCACATGGGCTGAGCCCTGTGTGAAACACAGTAACCGTACACAGACCGCCATAAGCAACCTTCTTGGGATGAGTACGTGAAATATGCACGATGCTTCAAAAGTGGAGAGGAAACTCCTCGTCATTTTACATGCAATGAAACTTTGGTAGCGTGATGTAGGTGTCGGGCTCCGTTTTGACGGGCGAGTGCAGGAATAGCTGTTGTCAGTGACCAACACGCTGCCGAGGCTTTTCCTTCTCTCCCCGAGGTGCTTTGCACGCCTTGTCAGCACGAGCCGATGAGACACCCGCCAGTTTGAAAGGACTACCGAGAAAACCCGTGCAATGGACTTGATACCCATCATCGGTGATGCTGCCGTCCCAACGCGACATGAACACGAAACAGAAGACGAAGCAGAGACCATAATTCAGATCACGCACAAACGCGGGGTCCTTGTCGGGAGACAGACATCGCGAGCGTGAAAGCACTCCGGTGTTTTCGTCGTGTGTGTTGTTGGTTGACCGGCTGGAGCGGTCTATGCGGCTTAGGCACAAGCACACACCACCTTCTCTCCAGCGCCCCCCCTGTGTGTGGAGCTCAAGGGCTGGAAATATTTCCCGCCTTTCTGTTCTATACTAGGCCGCAGCGTCTCTCACAGGTCAGAAAATTTGAAGGCGATGCTATCAAAAGGAAAGACACGCACGCGCCCAAAATATATCGGGCTGCTTCGACCGTCACTTTCTCCTCCTCTCATGTCGGTTTCGCTAACTCTCCTCACCCCTCGCTATTGCACTTGAAACAGGCTCCTGGCGAGCGTCCGGCGTCTCCCTCTTTCGCTGCGTCACGTGTGGCGACGTCGTCGGTGATTTTGTTCTTGGGAGTCATCGTCGGGAAGGCATCGGGATGGGTAGAGTGCCTCATGCCGCCGCAGGACGCGTGGAAGGCGGCGACTGATACGACTCCGGCGCTGAGGATGCGCTACGACTACGAAAGGCGGTACACCTGCAGGGACGAAAAGGGTGCGTGAGAGGTGGAAAGAAAGGGAAATGGTACGACGTAGAATTTGTTTCTCCTCGAAACTTCGTTTTCCAAGGGTTGTTACGCTTTTTGTAGGCGGACACGTTTTCGGCGGTAAGGACATCCGGCGGTATTTTTCTTTCGATACTGTAGGCGATATTTTCGTTTTTCGGTGGCAACGAATCTGGCCGAGGCAGTAAACACAAAAACCGGCGGAACACCGGCGGTATACCGGTACTGCCCAACGGCGGTATTTTCACGACGGTAGAACTACCGAGTAAACCCTTAGTTTTTTCCAGCCCGTTATACTTTCGTGAACAAAGATGGATCGGTCGTCCAACTGGGCGACTGGCGGATTTGATCCGTTGCAGTTTCATTGGTAAATTAGTCCCGGCTTCTCGGTGGTGATGTGTGAAAGTCCGTTCTGAACCGTCGGCTGTTCTCTTCCAGTGGAACCCTGTTGCTGCTGCATCTATCTCACCGTTAGATGTCCCCGCATGTTTGTGACGAACACGACACCGGCGCCGTGTTCTTGGTACAACTTCCAAATTCCGAACACTTACTCGATAGGAGCCAGCTACACCTTCAAATCTGCGGTGGTCCACAAACACTCCTTCATGCCATCTCCGACCAATTCCTCCCCGTCCTCCCTGCTGCCCCTTCTCGCGGCCCCGCTTCCCCCCCCGACGACATGAACATTCTCGCCAGCCTCCTTCCTCGCAGCTAGCTATGTGTTCAACTCCACATGCACGGCAAGGCGGTTTTCTGGCCCCCCTGACGTGGTTTCGGTGAGCGAGCCTCTTTGTTCCTGATGTTCGCAAACAGATGGTTTTTTGAAACGTTTTGTTGGCAGGAGGCTCACCTGATTTGGGTGGCTTCTGAAATTCGCGTAACCGTGGTACGCACCCAACCTAAACCAACTCTCGCATCTCGTGTTAGATGTTGGTAGGCATGAAGACCTGTCGGTTTCATTGCTGACAATTAAGGATGAAACGGGACTGTGCTTCGGGCACTGGCTGGTTTGTCCACTGGGGGGAGGTTGGTCACAGTCTTCAAGGACCAACCCCGAACTCCCTGGCGCATGCGCGGAGGAAGAGCGACGACTCTCCCCCGCTTGTACTCTCGTGCTTGGACGCAAACTCTCTACAACGCCTGAACAAAGCGTCGACTTCTGTGCAGGTGGTGTATCTTGCCGGAACATGAATACCTGGAGGCACTGTCGTTTGCCGCGCCCACCCAGCACATTTCGTCATTTAACATGTATGACGTTGTTCCACCGGAAGTACTGTATTTCCTGTAGAACAAAAACAATGAGGTGAGGGGATTGTGTCAGTATTAATTCCTCCCTCTCCCTTCCCTGCCGAGGGTAAATTTTGTTTTCGGGCTTCCACCAAAAGTTAACCGTTGCCCTCCTCCCCACCTTGGCATTCCCGGCTTGTTTTTGCAATTCCCTCGTGTTGACACTGCCGAAACCAGTGCTTGAAGGGGAGACGAGTGATTTTCCTGGGGGACTCTCTGTCAAACCAGCAGGGAGACTCTCTGCTGGGCATGCTGGGCTGGCATCCCGATTGGATGACCAAGGGAAACCCGCGAAATGCCAAGGTACAGGTGCAGCTGAGGGGCAAAATCGTCGTGGGGACCTAAGGGCAGATGTCTCTGCTTTTGTCTAATTCTTTCGGTTGAGGCGCTCGGGTGTAGTTTCCTCATTGTGCCGTGTCCGTCCCCCCATCCCTGTTCGTTTTTACGCTGCTCCCGAACAGGTAATTACCGAGGACGGGAAGAGGTACTATACCCTGGTTGATTGCTGGCACCCTTCAATCAAAGGAGTCGAGAGATGCTATGACTATTCCACGAGCGACTTCCCAGGACCTACAACATTAGGCCAGCCGGGTGATGGGCCGTCGGGAGAGGTAGGTTAGGCGACGAAGTCGGAGGTTTCCCCCCCTTCGGATGGTGAAACGATGGGGATTTAAGGGGACTGGGGGGCGCTTGTAGTTGTGACTGCTGGTCACTAGATGCGTGAACAGCTGGCGCATGTCAAGAACGGCGTGCGGTGCGTGGTCACGTTAGTGTCATGGTTACATTGCAGGGCTCTCAGGAAGCTCGACATGGAAGCCCATAGCGGAGGAGTTTCGTTTCTATTCTTGAATTTTCCCCCCATGGCTTGACCGTGATCCGCCGTTCCTTGCAGTAGCAGTAGAGCTGCCGTTGGGCCGAAATCCATCAATCATGTCGGCGCCTTTCGCTTCTTCTGATTTGTACTTGTACCAATTGCTTCACATCTCGTTGGTTTCTTGTGCCATCTCCTGTCACTCTGTACTCCTTGTCAAACCCGTTTGCCTGCACGCTCTAGGGATCCATTTCGTCGCTAAAACGTTCTGCAAAACCAGGAATACGAAGATCATACTCTGCTATTATCTCACGGTTCCGCCAACGGCCTAAACAAGCAATGTATAGCACACGAACGACGATTGACGCACGAGTAGGCGGATACGCTTGGCGGGGTCTCACGGAAGGGTTTGATACCCCCCGCAGAAAGGGACGGAGAGAAATTTCTAAATTAAACTTGGTGATGTGGTATATTGGCCGTTTCAGACAGCTCATCTTCAAAGGTATGATCTCTGTCTCTGTCTCGCTGTCTCTGTCTTCCTCCCCCCCCCTCTCTCTCTTTCTCTCTCCCTTTCTCTGTTTCTCCCTCTCTCTCTCTCTCTCTCTCTCTCTCTCTCTCTCGCTCTCTCTCCTCTTCTATGTATCTTTCTATCTATCTTCCTTCTCCCGTTTCCCTCTCTCGTTCTCTCGGACCTGTCCGCCCCCTCCCCACCCTTCACATTCCCCTCGCCTCTCCATCTACCCTCCTTCCTGCCTGATCGTCTCTGCTTGCTGCCAGGCAACGACGCAATCGCGAAAGAACATGGCCCGTTCTACGACGTCACCGGCCAAACGAAGGCCGCCCCTGGGCGGCACAAAAGCCGACTCGACCAAGTCTGTCAGCACCGAAGGCGACAACAGCCGCAACAAGCACAGCAGGAAAATGCAAGCACGAGAGTGGGAAGACGGGCAGGAGGCGGCGGAAGAGGCAGAAGCGGAGGGGTACAGGGAGGAAGTCGAGGCCGTCGACGAAAGTGAAATCTCGGTGCACATGCGAATGCTTTCGAAGCCCAGCGGTGAACACTGGTGAGGAGAGAGAGAGGTAACCTTGCTGTTGCACCGTGTTGGATGTCCCCGCCCCAACCGCCCAGAAAACCAAAGTCCAAGAAATCCAGCCGGTTTCTTCCCCACCCACTGTAAAGACTCCAACACATCCATTTCATTTGGGTATTCATCTCGAATGGGTCATTTTTCTGTGACCGTGTGTGAATTTTCTAAAGCAAGCAACGAAGTCGAGACGAAAGCGTGTGCATGACCCCGCGTCGTCCGATCGGACCATGACCAGTGACACGTGACTTTTATTTTGGTTATTTCCTGGTGGACATTCCGCACAAACGTTGTCCCTGCGCGCGAGCATACCTGTGCGTGGGCCGACCAATCTCAGCCGCATATTCCACACGGCTGGGGACGTGTACCACTCTCGGCTTGTGTCTCGATGTCCCGGTTCCAGGTTGACGAGAGCCGTTAGCGATTTCAACGAAACGAGAGCGTCGGACATTTTCGTGGTGAACTTCGGGGGGCACTACCACGACTTCCCCGAGGAGGACGACAGCTTCAAGAGGGACGTGTTCCCCATCCTGGACGAAATGGCGGTTCTGGGCGAAAAGGCCACCGTCGTTTGGAGGTAATTTTTGACCGAAACATACTTGAACCGGCGGTGTGTCTCGGGAGATTCGGCCCATGCCTCGTTTTTTGTTGTCTTTCACAGAGTAGTTTCACCAGCGTTCCGGGGAGAGGGAGGGGGATAGGGAGCGCCAGAGAGGCGAAGCGCCGCAGAGAAAAGAAAAACGAGACGCCTCCAAAGAGGAAGGTCGGATGCCGAGGCTGAAATTTGAAATTTGCGCCCCTCGTTTTCCCCTTCTTGCTCAAGGCCGGTGTTGCTTGATTCGATACTCGCGAACGATTAGCATAGCCTCACCACGATCTCTGTTCTCCCTTTGCGCAGAGAGATTGCACCGACCCATTTCCCCGCCGTGAATGGGTCTTTCGACGCTTTTGACGGTCTCGAGTCGAAGGACCGAAAAGCGAGCTGCACTGGGACTCCGCCCGAGGTTTTCGACCGAAATGTGGTGAGGTTTTTTGTTGCTCTTGCTGTTGGTTGTGTTTCGAGTCCCACCGCGTAAGTCGAACACGACAGAAATTAATTGGTCGACTTCTGCCACTAGTCCAGCCCACCCCTTCCTCTTTTCAGCGTCTCGTAGCGGCGTAGCCAAGGCGACACCACTAGTCAACGTAGGTTTCTACCACCACCGCTCTTTCTGAAGGGAAAAGAAAGTTATCGCTGTTGAAGCGTTTGTTCACCGACCACTCGATAAAGAGCAGCACCCGGGCGACCTGTTCCGACCTGTTCGGACTACTGAACCGTTCCCGAGACAATATGCATCGCACGTAGAATCCCCCTGTCTGTGTGACCCCGGTTTGATTCTTTTACTACATGCTGAGGCGGGGGTGGCCATTGGAACCACAGCTTACGCGGCAACTACCAGTCTACCGCTATTTCGGGCAGCGACATTGTCGCTGCAGAATGACTCCGAGTCCGCCTTGTTTCGCCGTTTTTTCTTGGGAAAAACGTTTTCCGCCTTGCATAGTGGGTGGAGAACTACGTGCGGGACAACGGGCTCGAGGATAGGATCAAGCTGCTGCGAATCTACGACATGTCCATGCCACGGGGAGCGGCCCATCACACGTGCCATTTTGCACCTGTGAGTGTGAGCGGTATGTAGGCGCACACGACATCCAAACAAACGCTATTTCAACAGCATGAGGCCACACCAAACGAACAGACCCCGGTCACAAGAGAGGGAACGCAAGACGATCGTCACACCACCTTTCATTGTCTTAGGCCGTACCAAGAGAAACTCGTTTTTTCGATGCTCTCGTCATAAAAATGCACGGTATTTGCGGTATTTGCACTCAGGCAAAACTACATGTAGCATTTCTCTTCCGTTTCTAGGAGGAGGTCGAAGATCTTAGACGACACTATTTAATAGAAAAAGTTTCGACTGGACACGGCGTTTTCAGCGGCAGTTGCAGACGTGAGCATACCCACAGGCCGACACGTATTTCAAGCGTTTTCCGTTCACACGGTTGAACCAAGGAAGCGCAACCAACCCCCGACGGTGTTCAGAGCGTGCTGTTTCCCGACACCACCCGCACGCTTATAACAAACAGAAAACACGATGAAAGCGCGGCATTGAGGAGAAGCACAAGCTTCTGCCGCCTCCCGCCCACGGGTCTTTTTGACGTTCGTCTTCTCTGGCCGCGTGTGGGTCTTCGCGTTTCGCTTGCAGCCGTCCACAATGAACCAGTCCGAAGCGGCGATTGACGGCCGAGGAGTTTCTGGTCCTTTGGACTGCAGACACTGGTCCGAAACCGGCGTCGTGGAGGAGTGGAACGCCCTTATGCTCAACCACCTCTGCCCTATGGAGTGACGTCATCGCTCTTTGCGTCCATTGACCCGATCTCCGTGAGAGGTTGGTTTCCTTGCGTGGGCAATCTTAGTGGCAAAAAAAGTACGTCAGCCAGGTACATAAGAGGAGGAGCGGGAATACGGGCTCTTGCTCGAAACACCGTGCCCCCCCTGGGTCGTTCTGCCACGTAAGAGTCGCGGGTTGTTGGTGAGGTATTGTATGATATTCGCTTCACATTGCCCCCGACAAGTTCCAATATGTACACGTTTGTTTGCCATGGCGGCAAGCGCGAGGTGAAGAGATGCAGCTACCTTTCTATATTGGATATTACACACGGATCGATTTCTAGACAGTATTGAAAGAATTGGCATTTAGAGTTCAATACCCTGCTTGCGGCAACCTGATATATATAGGTTGTTTGTAATTTTTTGCCCCCCGCAGAGGTGCTAGTCCGTGGGCTTATTTGTAGTCTGTTCCTGAAGGTCATCGAGTTTCATGTCGTTAGTGTGAACGACGGTGGGTAAACTCCTACCGTTGTGGTCAGAGATTGTGACCTTGGATATACTTGTAACCTTGATTTCGGCGGATGGACAGCATTCGTTGTTTGAAGCGATGCACGGTCCGATACCCGAACTATTCGTCTCCTACCGCATTAATATTGCACGTGTTGGCTTGGCGGTTGATCGGCGTCGCTTGCTCAGGTAGGTCGATCGACTAGTTGCGTCACTCCTTTTTCTACTCGACGACCTGCGTTTGTTCGATCTGTTCTTGGTCGCTCCGATCGGGCAATTGTCACGTCTCCGTTGTGTGTGTACATTTTGGTTGGCTACTGCTGTATCTTCGAGATCAGGTTGCGAAAGCTCTTCCCTGTCACATCGTAACATCGGCTGTGCCTTTGATTGCTCGGATAAGTGAGGGACAGTGTGGTTATTGCCGTGTTGTCGTTGAAAGGGCCTGCTTGTCTGTCGTGTGACTTGGTTGGTTGTCCAGTCATCTTCAGTATGGCATTGAAAATCGATCGGGGGCATGATACACGCGAAGATGTTGATGAGAAACCAGGCAAAATACTTCAATATGTTTCTCCTAGTTTTACCTGGCTTGGCTCGGTCTTATTAGCTGTCTGCGTGTACGTGGGTGTTTATATGTTTTTTTTTCACGTCGACACTCCTGCTAATATAGACTAATAGCTTATCTCGACACATGCAGGTTTTCCATTCAAGACGTGGAACGATGTTGCCGCAAAAACAAGTTGACCGTCTAGTCTAGACTAGTCTCGATACGTAGTACTTCTTTGCGATGTTTTTCGTACCACTGTACTGTGCGGCTTGACAGGGTGTGTTGACAGGGTGTGGCGCAACCGTGCACGGTTTTTCCTGGGAGACGTGGTACCAGTGTAATGACGGCATGCTCAACCTCGCCGGCCGATCGAGGCTTGCCATGAGTGTTGCTGATTCTACGCAAACACCGTCAGTCCGGCTTTCTGTGTTGTTACCCGCTCCTTTTCGAAAAAAAGAGACGTTCCCGGTGTAGAGGAAGGTGAGGGAAGAGTTCCTTGACGTTGTCGACGTAAATGAAGCGTCCAGGGACTAATGCGGGCCGGGGGCGTGGGTGACTTGTTTGGTGCACTACCTACAACTGAGACCTGCAAGTAGACAGTCCGGGGGGAATTGGCTTTCGTCGAAAAGGGGCGTTTCCTTGCTTGTAGAAGTAGTGAGGGAACAATTGTGCTCGCGGTGCCGTCGTATCATGCTGCACGATGAGAGGCAGGCAGATGAGCAATCAGGTGCTCGTGAGCGTACGAGTGCGGAAGCGTATGATTTTGTACACTTAAGGGCGTCAAAGTGCGGCTACCGTTGCCTTGGTGGAGTTCGCGTTGTGGCCGCCAGGCCAGCGTTGTCAGTGGCATCGTACAGTGATAAATGATGTACTCAAACCGTTCGCAACCATGACCGCTGCCGTATGAGCGACCGGTTCGACATGCATTATACCACTCACTACGGAAGAAACAGGGTAATCAAGCAACTGTTGTAGTTCCGATGCCGCAATTGCATACACAAGAGACGCGCCAGCAAATTCTTCCCCTACAACAGCACGGATGATGTGCCTCAAAGCGTCCGGTAAATTGTGGAAGTACAGTTTTCGTCTCACAACTTTGCTCGAAGAGAGCAGGTGCCCCCTTCGTCTTTTCGAGGTGTCTCTCCCCCTCCCATCAAAACTTCTGCTCCAGACTCCGCAAACAAAGCCCTGAACGCCACGTGCGGCAATCCTCTGGAAGATGGTGAGCGCGAAGGCGGTGGCAGCGACATGGTGCTCTCGACTACGTCCCAGGTGCCATCCAGCCGAGCTCCGTTCCACCCGAGGTGCCTCGGAACACCATCATCGCTGCCTCCTGCGCTTTTCACGCCCACCCAGTCGGCAGACAGGCTGTCCGGCGCGATCGTGAGAACCGATCCCAAGAACGGTCGTCGGTTCTCCAGCCAGGGGTGGAGGGAGCAGTTTACCGTCCAAGGCAAACGTCCTGAACATGGGAATTGATTATTTGGGTTGGCGGGGTTAGGAACGGGTTGGGAAGACCATGACTATTCCTGTAGACACGCCTCGTTCATGTCCAACCAGCCTTTTCAACTGCCATAGGCAGAGCCTGTTGAAAGGTGTTAGGTTTACGGGCGATCGGTTGGAGGAGTTGTCCTTGAGGAAACGATACACCCCGATAGACTCCGATTGGGGAACCAGGGTTGAGTTCGGCAGGAAACTGGGAAATGCTCACAGACGCCCAAGCAACAAAAAAACTTCCCCGAACAAAAAGCAAAAGAGCGTCCATACCTTTTTGTGCACTGACCCTTCCATGCGAAGCCTCCAGCGACAGAAGCTCGAGTGCCCTCCGCCGATCCCCTCGTGCGATCGCGTCGTCCACCCGACCGACCAACCCGCCCTTGCCTCCGCGGCTGCTGCCCCCTGCCTCCATCAAACCGGAATCCCGGTCCACAATAAGGCCGAAGTGATCCCCGCACACCACGAGGAGAGCGTCGGGAGCGCTGACAAAAAGTGGTGGGGGTTCGAGGAGTCATTAAGTGCTGGGCGCAGGTCATTGCAAGGGGTCCCTCGACAAAGTAGCTGTCACTATGCTTGCCACAATATCGCGCCTTCCCACTCTGCTCGTCAAGCATCCCATCGTGTCAGCGTGTTCCGGCAGGAGGAGGAAGAAAAAAACAGCTCAACTGGAAGGAAACAGACGTTCCACGAACCCACCTTTGCCTGCAGCGGCACCTACAACAAGTTGCCGCACAGCGCGGAATATCCACACCCAATCCCTGCTGGTATTCATTCTTGAACTTCGATCGTCGGCACCCAAATGATGAGTGACAGACGAAGAGATATTTTCAGGTTCGAACGTTTGGGAAACCTTTCACCTATATGTACGTACTTACCCTTGACACATGTACAATCTTCAAAAGCGTCAGCACGCCTTTTGCCCTCCGGTTTCGAGACGTCCGAGCGGCCAGGAGCAAGCGGGATAGCTTGGTGAAACACGACTCTTGCTGCTTCAAGGTGGGCACTGTGGTGCTCATACCGAAACAACATTACATTACTCGATTCATCCCGCTGTTCCTGCTGTCTCTACATGATTGTCTTGTGTCACCTCGAAGGGCGTCTTCGAAGCGCGAAGTACGGCCCTCGACCCCCCGGGAGTCTCTCCCACCTCTCCATGTACACGTGCTGATCAAAAGCGTCCTAGAAGGGAACAACGACAGAACAAGAGGTCGAGCACATGGAGAGTTGTGTCGCCGGTATCTGTTTACGGTCCTCTCAAGTAAATCGCTTGGTTTGTCTCGCGTTTCACGCCTACAACAAGGATCAACACGGTGACTCTAGCAAGCAAACCATTATTTTTATAGTACCTGTCCGGATGTGAAACAGCGATGGAAGGATTAGGCATGACAAGGGGACGCTGTCATCACAACGCCGTCAATGCGATGGGGAGGAGGGCTTGATGCTTGTGTATAAGCCTCGAATGGCAAATCTCTAAAAATAAAAACTGCAAACGAAAAGGGGAAAATAGTGGGAAACATTGTGCACTACAGGAGTAGCGGAGTGAAGGGGGGCTGACATTGTACACGCACGAACAGCACCATCAAGAGCAACCACCGCCGCAACCACAAGAGCGAGACTGCCACCTTAGCGAACCCCCACTCCTTCCAAACATCCCCTCCGGGCCCCATCTCCACCCTCCACTTGTTGGGCCTCGGCCGCGCTTCTCCAACATAGTTCCAGTCGATGCAGTGATGACGAGTTGCCACCGACCCTTCCAGGCGCCCATGCTCTTTGGCTCCCTGCTCTTCTCCGCCGCCCCGGCGAAGGCTGGCCCCATCAACCCAAGGGGATGCCACAGGTTCCACCCGGGTGTAGCCGGCGAAGGCGTGTCTTCGGGCAAACAGCCGCAGCTCGAAGTCCTGGTGAGGGTTCAGAGGACCAACACACACACACACACCACAAGACGATGGAGGCGTATCGATTGAGCGGGATCTGTGGTCTGTTTCTGCCGTGGTCTGACAAATTCGCCTGTCGTTGCATTGGACGTAAACATCCTGCCTCTGGTTGACTGTCACCGGTCGGCTAGGACACTCATGGCGGTTCATGCCGAGACACGAAGCGGCATGGTCTGCAGGATACGTGCAGCAGCAAGCGGGGGATATAATCCCGGGTGTATACCCGCACCCGACACTTCCGTGAGATCAGGATATCCATTGGAACAATACCCGGACTGCGGAAACAACAACGGAGACAAATATTGGGGGGAACATACCCGGAAAAATAGGGTTAAACACATGGGATAAAAACCCTTTGAAGAAAATACCGGGGTGCGTGTACGGGTATAGAGCTGAATACATTAATATGACGAAATCCGTTTTTTTCTGTTGAAGGCTGTACGACAAGCTCGAATACCCGAGTTTTACCATGGAGGGCTATATTCAATAAGTACTTCCCAAAACCCTACCCCAAACTTAGAAATCTTACAGGCGGCACCCTTGGAAAGTTCCCAGGTACTACGACATGACGTGAGAAACCGGCCGTTCCTGGGTCAGCGGTCGGGTAACAACAAGGAAAGATCGGAGCACCACATCCGAGCCCTGCTCAGGAACCTCTTCCTGGAGCCTTGAAGCATGTCTCAGTTGCCTCCCCTCTGTCAGGTGCCTCGCTGAAGAACAAAAATCGCTTTGTCTAGCTCGTTCAAAAGCGGGCGATGCTCAACTGCGCTCTCGATGTAGCCGACGGCATGCACACACTGCGCAAGCGTGATGCGGGACATCACAAACAATAACTGACTTACCAACGCTCGACCCCACCCGACTTTTTTATTTATTGAAAATATACATAGAAACACAGAACGACTACCCGTTCGAGATGTAACCACAGTCGATAGGGTTGTGCTGAAGTCTCTTCAGCGAGTACTACCCTCGCCGTGACAAGGGGTATATATGCAGTGATAACCAAGCAGAGCCAGAACCTCACCCAACATAGCGGGTAGCTCTAGACTGATCTCCACTCCCGACGAGATATCTATCATTTCTCCGGAAGCCAAGAAATATTTGGACAACCATCTGCCTTGAGAAAATATGGACGCCGTGCCGCCCTAAGGCAACAGAGAGCATTATCCTTCCCGTGTCGCTCGTTGTTTCGTTGATCGTACCGTCATGGTGTGGAAACTCCGGTGGTGTCCCAGCAGCGCAGCCGCTGCCTTGGGCACCCTGATGTCGATGAAGACGGAAGGAGTCTGAAGGTTGAAGGTGGTCTCGCCCTCCTGTGGTGTGGGAAAGGGAGGAATCGGGGTCATTTATTTTTCAGAGGGAAAGACAGTTAGGCTAGGGTTAGGGTTAGACAGTTGGGCAAATAAACACAAAAACACATTGGATATGGCACCTGTACACCACAAGGGGGTTCGAATCCAACGCTGCGAGGTGCAACAAGTCAAGCAGCTTGACCTGCTTTTACAAATGAGACGAACAGCTCCAGGCTAACAGTCCTAAGACAACCCTTCCGGTCGGTACCTGCTGGGTTGTTCAACATAATCAAGATCGACGCATCTGTAATACTCTCCGGAAGACACGATTTTCTTAACGATGTATTCTCTCGCGAAGGGCAAGCAATCAGGTACCGTGCAACTTTCTGGTTGTCGAGAAAGGGGCGCGAGGGAACAGTCGCCAACAAGGGGCAGGCAAGGGTGAAGTGCATCTGCGGGAGGGGCGGGATCCGACATCCGACCTGTCCAATGGGCGGTGAAGATGAGGAGCGTGACGCAGGTTCCGCCGCATCATCCGAATGTGTCCAGCCTCCCACAAACAGCGGCCGCTTCCACGCCCCAGCAATCTCTGCTCCACATCCAGTCCCCTTGTTGGTTGTTGAAGGTTGGGTAAATTTCGCGGAGTTCAAGACGGCGAAGGCGAGGGAGCTGAGCTGGTCTCTTCTTGATAATAGCCATGACATGTCCTAGCCTGTGGGAAACACTTCCCTTTGAGGTATTTCGCATTGGAAGACGGTCTCACATCTCCACGTCGCGTGTACCGTGCCACCGCGGGAGATTTCGTTTGTGGATGCGCTGTAGTGTAGGCTACAACGCATGGAAGTTTTCAGCGAGGATGGTCTGAACCGAAGCTCGCTCGTCGAACTCCCGCCCAGCAAGTGGTGCAGCAGCTCGCACAGGAGCAGCAGCACGTGTTCATGGCTTCACCTGGTTATGCCACAGCGAGAAGGCCTCGTGGGTGGTCGCCCTTGCCTTGTGAAAGTGCGGCAGCTCCTCCTGGGAGAACGGGAAGCGAGGTCCTCGATACCACCTGAAACATAGGAGAGGCGTTATATCTCACTCAGACAAACAACCGGGATACCAATCGAATTATTCCATGGTACACAGACCAAGCAGAGCTGTGAGGACGAGTGTATCGGATCAACTTCAGGGCTGTACGTGTGTCTGTTAACTGCTGTGCGTATCGTGACACGTGTCAAGCCACACGGTTCATGTTGGGCACGGCAGCCGCATAACGCAACGCCGCCTGAAGATCGCACCTCCATTGATACTGCACCGCCCAGGAGAACGGAGGTCAACACTAATCTTTCTTCGCCAGTAGAGTTTGACGTCCCGAAACTATTGCCCTAATTTTTAGTCCCTCGGTATCCAACTCCTCAGGGAAAGAGATTGGGCGCAGCACCATTGCACTTCACACGTCGAGACACCACACCTTGAAAGGAAACAACTTGAATTCAATCCAAACAGGTTACTGGCCGATAAACCGCATCCAATACCACTGTCGTTATCACATCGGATACTAAATGTCGCCCAGAGAATGTAGCACAGACAGAGAGCGCGGCGTACTGGCAATGCATCTCATTTCTACATCTCATGCAACGGGCGTGATAGATCACCCCATTGTTAGAAATCAAAGACAAGGGGTATCAAATGGCGGTTTCCTACGCATATGCAGCGGGGTGGTATCTCGCTTGGTGTGGCAAAGTTGATGCATACGAGCCTCTTCTGCGGACCTGCTGCGCTACTACTGGTTGGATGCTTACACACGCAAGAACGCACTTGGAAGAGACGCCGCCACCGGTGAGGATGTGGAACTGTTTGTCGGACCACTTCAACAAAGATGACGAGGCGGCAGCAGTAGTAGCATCAACCGCAGCGGCGGCACCCTTGTCGCTGTCAGCGGGCGTCTGCGCCTGCTCGTCGTACTGGTCATCCATCGATGATTATGAAGATACGGATGCTGCCACCACTTCGAACTTGGACCGATCTTGCCCGCGCGGACTTCGGTTGTCAGTTGTGTCCACTCCGCCTCTAGCTCTGCGGAATTCTGTTGTTCATGGTGTGCAGGGTCGGATGCACGCCCTTTTACAACATCTTCGCGCGTAAAATAGCGTAGCCCCGGTGGGCGGGGGCTTGCTGCTCAACATGCTCCGTACCGAATCGTGGGGGTTCCGTAGAAGCATTCGGTCTACGGTCTACTACTGTACCGTAGGTTGCATAAAATTTCACATTCCCTGGACCGATTTTCAAAGCTCGACTACTCCATGACGAAGACGATGCCGAAATTGAAGTACACATTTTCCGAAAGCTCTCGACGAGACGATTCCAACGCCGCCATTTCTGACACCGTCACTGCTGTTTTTCCTGCCGAGGTACAGTATCAAGCTTCGAAAATCGGTCCAGGGGGTGTGATATCTTATGAAACCTACGGACGGTACTCATGTCTATCGTACCACGCTTGCTGCTGAGCGCAGACCAGAGAGTAGTACAGAGTTCAGCATGAGTGGTACATACAGTAGGTCTTGAGTGGACTTTCCCACGTCGATGGAACGGGCCCGGTGTCTGTGCTTTTGATTAGCCGTGCTATGGCACCATGCATGATCGGGGGAGAGCACAAAAAACAGCAACAATTCCCAATGCAATGCGATTGCGATATGGGGCGGACCCGACCATCGTAGAGGAGCAAGAGTTGGGGACTCACTTTGATGGTTGTGGTAGATTTGCTCGTTGATCGCTGGGATTGTGACAGATAAGAGGGGGCTGACACTGCCCTCCCTTCAGTCTAGACACGGATCTACGTAAATGCGGCGCAATTACAGCCAAGACCGGTTGACGACGCCACCACGATCTTGCCCCAAGTATCGCCCTCTGGATCTCTGGATGGTACCAGTCTCCCTCTTTCCGCAAAAATCTCGTTACACATGGACTGATAACACCTGTGACCACAGCCAATATCATCACAAGCACCAACCAGCTACACAGCCAGCGGCTGGAAGAAACTAATCGCCCGAGTGACTACAGCAGTAGGTGACACAAAATACCACCCTCCCTGTCCGCCCGATTTTCAGAGTTCGACTATTCCACGTAGTCTACGGGGATAAAGTATTCAATCCGTGCTACGCGGTCCATTCCACGAAGAAGAAGAGGATGACAACCTATCTATCTATCTACTTGTAAATCGCTCTTTTTCGGAAAGATCTCGATAAGATGGTCCCAACACCGACATATTCGGAACCGCCAATCAATAAATCTCTCTGGTGAGAGTAAGCTTTTGGTCGTGCCGCGGCAAGACGAAACAATTGCACACGCCCAGGACAAAAATAACCAGGCTGTTTGTATCTGTGTCACGTGGTGTATCTACAGGAGGAGGAGCTGCCTGGACCGGATAGTTAATTTTCATCGAGAGCACTTTTAATTATTAGTGTTGTTTCATTTTTCTCATTGATTGTCATCAGTGTTACAGAACGCGCCCCCCACGGAAAAATATTGTTTGGTTATTTACTTGGGTGTGGTCAAAGAACAATCAATGTAGAGGGTCGTGCTAGATGATGGTGTTCCCCATTCATCACAAATGGTGCGCAAGTTCATTAGATTTTGACTCTTTTTAGGCTCAATTTCTTCATTATTATTGCCAAAAGTGGGGCGCTTACAAAGATCAACATTATTATTATTACTGGGTAAAATGAGAAAAAAAAGCGAAAGAAGAGACGTTTCTTGGGGCACCATGTCCCACCATGTCCCACCATGAGGTCTCATGGTCGCCCATGAGAATAATCTAATGGGACCTCATGGGGCCCCATGAGACCCCCCATTACAACTTGCCCATGTCATCCCATGTGGGTCCCCATGGGCAATCGCATGGATGGGCCTTTTTGCATGGCTCCCCATAGGGCACCATGAGACAACGTGTCCCATATTATTAATAATGATTGAAAGAATTCGTAGAATCTCGTGATACACCATGGACCGCACGACGGGCATCCAACCATGGGCGGGCGCAAGGAAAAAAGTGCAAATAAATATGAAAAAGGAAACGTTGTACCTTAATAAAATCTCACATGGGGCACCATGAGCGTTCACGAGAGGTTGGTTCCGAAACCTCACTTCTCGTGCTCCACGAGGCCCCATGGTGCCTCATGGTTCCTCATGGCGCCCCATGAGAGTTTTCGGAAAAGACGAACGTCACAAAACAAAAAAAGTTTGATTTGAAATAAATAAATGTGGCCATGAGTGAGTGGTGTCCCACTGCAGACTTTTATAATACCCTTTGGTCATGAATGTGGCGTGACAGGCGAGATTTATCTAGTGAGATTGGTTGCCATGGTTGGTCGCCCATGGTTGCCCAAGGTTGCCCACGGTTGCCCATGGGCAACCATGCCTGCCCATGACTGCCCATGAGAGAACATGTCATATATACCCCATGGGATCTCATGGGGCACCAAGAGGAGTTGTGGCGCTTATAACTAACAAATACGAAGAACTGTGTTGTATGTTATTGCGGAACTTGGCCGGAAACAGAGTCAGCTCCAGAGGGGGGCGTGCGATCTCCCTGGTCGTCAGCATTTTCGTCGACGAAACCACACAGAACGTTAATAATACTAAAACTATAGGAAGTAGTAGTATTATAGTAGTAGTAGTAGTAGTAGTAGTAGTAGTAGCAGTAGTAGTAGTCGGGAACCGTCCGGGAACCAAATACCTACCGTTCTTTCAGAAGAAAAGCCTTGTTCTGGAAGAAGCGTTCTGGGACTCTGTTTATTTTCGATGACTCTTACGGAGGCCGTTCCTGAGAAGAACCGTTCTAGGAAAGTGGAAAGTGTTCCCGATGTAGGAAACATGCTACGAACCGGTACGGAATCTACCGCATCCATCCATGAGTGGAGCACCTTTTTTTTTTTTTTCTTAATATGACACAACGAATCCATCTCTATCATAGAAAAGAGTCTGAGACAGATTAGCAATGAATTCATAGCGTCAGAAAGTACCTGTGTCTACGGTTTCCCAGACAGCATATAGGGACATCTCCCCTGCGGGTAACAGGCTCAACAAGAGCACCTTTTATTCGGAAAATATCAGAAAAAAAAAAGAAGGAAAATACACACAGAAAGACTACCCATTCATTCGAGATATACCACCCACAGCAGTCGAACGGGATCTTTCTTTTCGCACCGTTATCGATCGGTGTACATGCATGAATGTGTTCAATCGGAGGCGAGGTGTGTACCTTTGACGCACCAGCCGGGGGGGGGTCATACAGGAGAGGGATATGTACAACACGCGACACCACTTTTTTTTGCAGCCTCTTAATTTTTCCTGAGGCTGGCTTGTAATTTCGTCTGTGGGATGATATTTTTCCTAATGAAGCCAACATCGAATGGTTGGCTGGCTGGCGCGTACGGCAAACATGATGCGCTCTTTGCATTGTATTTTGGTCAATCAACGCCAATCGGTTGACCTCACTGCACACTCCCTCGTGACTAGCGGCACATAAATATATACCGTATTTAGACGCACGCGTGTTGTGTTGTGTTGACTTCGGCCAAATGGTCGATCGCGTTGGCCTAACCAACACGCCCTCTTTTTTTCGTTTTTTTTTCTTTTGTTCTTTAATGCCGTCGTTATGCACACACGCACGCGCGCGCGTTAGTGACACACCCTAGAAAACATCAAACAACATTACCCCTCCCTGCCCCCCACCAGACCATCGAACGACCACGACCACATGTTGTACGCCAGCCAGCAACACCACCATCAGCATCAAGAACGCAACAGTTGATAATAGTGACAAGACACACCGACCGACAGAGAGAGAGCGAACGGAAGAAGAAGAACGACGGCGACGAGAGGGAAACCGAACCCCAAAAAGAACTGACTCCATGTGACACGTCACTTTCTTTCGTGCACGATGTATGTATGCATGCATCCAATCGTGTAGTACACCCATCCGTCCATCCATCCATGTCTCACACCAAACACGTCGAATCGAGACCGGCCAACCCAAGACCGGTAGCATCCTACAGGCTCTTGATTCCCGCCCTCCCCGAGACAAAGGAGAATAAACAGACAGACAGACGTGGTTTCGAATCGAACCGATAGCCGTTAACCCAGAGCAAGCACAGCCAGCCACATTCCACACATTTACTTTGAACAACATCATTTTCTTCTCGTTGGGGACTCGCGAGTCTTCACTCCCGCATACTTCGAGAAAAAGAAATGAAAAAGGAGATAATAATACCACAGAAAACCGAAACGCCACCGGAGTGACTGGCCACACAATCCCATCATCATCATGCAAGAATGATAACACACCTTCGGCACCAAAAGCCGCGTGCGCGAAGAGGACATTATAAAGGTGGGAATGAACAAAATGACAAACCGAGAGCGGAAACACATGTGTGTATGCTACATAGCTAGCTGCCTACAGCAGAGAAGAACTGCTTCTATACTTCGTAGAAACTATCGCAGATACGGCGTGGCGTGGCGTGGCATGGCATGTGTGATCGACCTCCTGCCATCGTGTGTAGCAGTGGTGCCCTCCACCCTTTTGATCGCAAAAGAATCGATCACCCCCTCCCCACCACCAATCCCGGCTGCCGCACCATAAAGAAACACCGGCCGAGAAAACAAGCGCCGGGGACGGGCAGCATCGACTGCAACCAACGCTTTCGCAACACAACCAACCAAGCCCTGAACGAAAAGAGCAGACATCCGTCAGCCCCACCATGGCGACGAAACGGCACGCCATTCACCTCAATAGGCTCTCTCAGATGGGGATCGAGCCAGAGACCCACTCGCTCTTTTCCTAGTCCTCTCAAGCCGGCGATCACTGCAAACAATCTCCACGAAGACAATAAACCGTGCGGATCATTCCACGAACAGTAGACATTCGACAAAAAAACCGAAGGCATGGGACACGGGAAAAAGAAAACAACAGATTCCCCAAGTCCAAATGCCAGAACCGCCACACGACAGACACGCCGCCACATCCATCCACCACCAGCCAAGAACGGGGTACAGCAGGCACGCGTGCACCCGACGGGATGTAAAGAAAACAACAAGTCCCCAGCCGTTCGCTTCCCCAATGACCAGCCGCGACAACTGATACGTGGTAGGCGGGGGAGGTGATGATATAAAAGCAACCAGACAAATAAGCTTCCAAGAACTAACTGGGCAAACCAGTGTAAACAACGAGAATATGCATCCTCATATGAACATCCACTCTACGTACGCAACGGTCCGTGTTACACGGACAACAGGACACAGACGAGAGAGAAACAGCCAAGTTAGTAAGTCGTGTTTCGCACCACATCTACTGTAGTTCGCAAGGAAACGTAGCGTAAAATTTCCTCGTCCCTCCGGTGTCAGATTCTGACAAGAACGTCACACCGACAGCTGACAAGCTATGGCACAACATAGCTGCAGCAGCAGGTGGTTTCTCTCTCCATCTCTCTCTCTTTGTCTGTCTGTCTGTCCTGTACGTCTTCTACAGCTAGGTCCCCTTTTTCAATTGACCATTTGCACACATCCAACCGAATTACACAAACTGTTCTCTCTGTCTCTCTCTCTCTCTCTCTCTTGATCGAGAGGAGGAGGAGGAGGAGGAGGAGGACCAGGGTCAACAACGAATATAATACAGACAACATCCCACTTCGAGTCCATAAACCAACCGCACTCCGATAATACACACCCCGCCCTCAGAACAAATCGACACCCCGCCCCAGCAACAAAAAATGAACCGGTAGATACAGAAAACGCACGCAAACCACGCCACGAGCATGCACTTCAGATTTATCTTGCGCGTTGAATACAAAACGCGTGTACACCACCGCTAGATATACATAAACGTACGCGACGCACGATATTGAAACCAAAAGTCGTTCCGGGTAGGAGACGCGCCCAAGTCGCTTCACCACAACCAGCCACAGCGCCACGCGGGCGGTGGGAGGCGAGAGACGGAGGGGAACTTCCACATCAACGCCCAAGTCGCTTCACCACAACCAGCCCACAGCGCCACGCGGGCGGTGGGAGGCGAGAGACGGAGGGGAACTTCCACATCAACACACACCCTTTTTGCCGGGGCGACGTAGGCATCCGAATCCCGCCAGCAGTTTCTATTCCGTCAAAATTTTCTATCCCCCACCCCCCCAATTCATCGCCGGCCTGCGCGCACGGCTTGCACTTCCCAAGCCAACCACTGATTGGACAAAAACACGCTTCCCAAACAGACTCTCTCGCCGCACATACAGACCAAACACACGCAAATATAATGAAAAATAAAAAGTTAAAAAGAGATCACGCCAGCGAAACAGCATTTTCGGACAACCACCACCTGTGAACCAAACGCGCATGCACGAAACACAGCACACACATGTATGTCCCCTTTGAGCCCCCACTTTCACAGGGGGGGGGCGCGACCGGGACATCACAGGGGGGGGGAGGGAGGGCTGCACATATGACTCGCTTCTATTCACCTCTCCTCATCTCACAATGAACGAGTCGTCGTGGAGCGACCACCTTAGCAGCAGCCGCCGCCGCCGCCGCCGCCGCCCGGGGTGGACTCGACTCGCCGTGCCGCTTGCCTCCGTTCCTCCGCCACCCGTCTCGACCTCTCTATGCTAACCTCGATCTGGGCGGCGCGCATGGCCATGCGCGCGGCGTGCGCCGCCCTCCGCCTACGGATGGCGGCGGGGTTCATGAGCATGTAGCTCATCTTGCACTCTCCGGAGCAGAACCTTCCCTCCTCACTGTTGGCATCGGTGTTGTCGCCACGGTTACTGGAGCCGCCACTACTACTACCGCGGTAGCCCGAGCTGCTGCTGTACGCGCCGCCGTTGGTGCTGCTCTGGCGGGAGGTGGCGGTGCTGCTGCTGCTGGAGGCCGGCGATGGGCGCGCGGTCCTGTCGCCGATGAGCTGGGACAGGGGGGAGAACGGCCCCTCCTTCTTGCCCTTGTCGCAGCTGCCGCTCTCGCTCTTGCTGTTGTTGTCGTTGTCGGAAGTCTTCGCCGCCAACGACGACGCCAACGACCCCAAGCTACTCCCGCCCGCCAAGCTACCCTCCAGCACGACGCCTGCTCCCGCGCTAGCACCACCACAGCTGCTCCGAGAACTTCCACGAGACGACGCCTCGACACTAGCCTCCTCGCCGCCGCCCGCCGCAACCCCGCTGCTACTGTTGTCGGCTGAGGTTGACGACGACACCGGAGCCGCGGCAGCGCTCTTGGGGATGTACGGCATCCGGCAGTGCTCGCAGGAGCGAGGGACGAGCCGCCGCCGCCGGTGCGCTTTCGCGTCGTCGTCCTCACCCTTGCTGCCGCTGCCGTTGGCAGCGGCGGCGATAACGTGGCTGCTGTCGTGGAGGAAGAAGGAGCCCTGCCGCCGAGAGGAGGCGGAGTCGCCGCCGCCGCCGTAGCCGTCCTCGTCGGCGCTGCCGTTGCAAAGCTCGCAGTCCGGGGAGGTGCACAAGGCGAAGGCGTGGTGGCCGCTGCCGTCGCCGTATGCGGACACCGGACTGTTGTTGTTGTTGCTGCTGCTGCTGCTGCCGCCGCTGCTGCGCCGTCGGCGTGGCGGCGGCGGGGGCGCTCCGTTGTCTTGAGCGGCCTTGTTGGTGCTGATGGTGATCTGGATGCCGCGTCGACCGCGCCTCATGTTGCCTCCTCGGGCTCCAACTTGCCCCATCATCGAAGCCTCCGACACGGTGGGGATGCGCTGGATTTTTTGTACGGGGGGGAGGGGACGGGCGTGGGCACGGTCACTGACTGTTGTACTACTGCTCTAAAGAGCGAAGCGTGATGGTACCACTTGTTGTTACATATGCATAGGTGTGGCGGGACTATCGCCGTTGCTGCTGCGCGGCTTGCGCCTCAGGTGAACGCGGTTAAATAGATCGGGACAAAACAGAAGTAAATTGTACGACATCGATCGGGTAAAAAAAGGAAAAGTCGTGGCATCATGGTGTGTCTATTCACCGCCTGATGATGTTGCCCCGTCGCGTGTGCTGTATAAAAGGCACACACACACGGACGGCGGACGCGGCAGAGCACCGGGAAGTTGGCACAAAACGGGGTGATGTATCGATGCACTTGCACGAGGGCGACCCAGAGTTATACTCCCAAGTAAAAATCTGTCGGCGGCGCCACGGGCTGCTGAAATAAACGTTAGTTAGCTGAAAGTTGCAGCTTGTCAAGCCTCATACCACATAGTTCTAGTCGGTACGAGCGCCATCTGGGGGGCACAAGAGTCTTCACAACTCCTGCTTCGGATTGATACTGTACCTTAGATGTTTGCGCGCATTTTTTTGCGACAGTCGGACGAACTACACTGCTGCTGTAATATGCTACCAGGCTGCTGTTCTATCTACTGCCTGCCGTCAGCAGCAGCAAGGCTAAAAAAGATCGTCTACGTCGAATCATTTGCGAGTGAGGTTGAAAACAACAACGTCAGTTGGCGTTATGGCGGCGATTTTCAAAATCCGACGGGTAAGCGCGGAGGGTGTTGGGGCTGATGCGCGCGCGCGCGCGCGCGTGTTCTTGTGCATAGTCTCTCGCTCGCTCGCTCGCCTCTCTCTATACATATCTTTTTGAACAAGCCCGCCCAAAATATTCGTAATTTTGTGTTTGAAAAACACGGAACACAATAAAAAAAATTCCAGCAGGCGCCGACAACGACGCGGCGGGGCTGGACTAGCTTCAGCAGCACCACCGGCGACGAAGCGTGCGGCGCCCGTCTTGAGCACACGTTGCTGCCCTCAGTTTCAGTCCCTGGTCTACATGCGGCTGCGCTGCTGCTGCTGCTGCTGCTGCTACTGCTACTGTTGTTTGGTGCGAATAGTTCTTCACCGTATTTTCGGAAGTTCCCGAGCAGCACGGCGGGATACCGCCCACATTTTCCCTCAGTTCAGTTCAGTTCTCTTGTGGGGCCTGTGGGCTGGGCTGCACCTAAATAACGATACACTATGTCCACAAGGATCTCGCGCCAAAAAAAGAACAACAACGTCAACGCCCGGGGTGAAAAGGGCGGCGGGCGCCGCCGCGCGCAGAGGCGCAGGAGGCGGATTTGCTGGTGTGGAAGGTTTTCTTGAGGGTTAGGTTGGACGGGGGAGCGTGCGCAACCCCCCTGCTGAAAGGGGGAAGGAAAGAGAGTTGAATTGAAGTCTTCTTCCTTTTCATCGATTGATTCACTCCGCAGGGGACGGCACGACAGGCAGAGGTCTAAAGCAGCAGCAGCAAAAACGACAATATAACACCCGCAAAATATAGGCAACGGACTTCTACTTCTTCTCACCATCGGCGCTGCCACCGTCGTCGTTGTCGGAGCGGGCCGCCGGCCTGCCGCGGGGGGGTAGTGCTGCCGCAGCTGTTGTTGTTGCTGCTGACGCCTGGCGGGGTGGCGGGGTGTCGGTGGCGGCCTGTCGGGCACCGTCGGCGTGATGGGATGGAAATCGAAAAACAAACCCGACAGTTGGAGTGCAAATATATATTGAGCGGAGACATTCGGTGTTTGTTTATTTATTTGCGATCAGTTTTTCGGACCCGAAAAATGAAAATCGTGCAACCTATTCGCGCCGACAGCGGAGCCTAGCCCCGATGCCCCCCCGCGGCCGGCGAGGGCGGGGGCAGTGGCCTTCTCGAGAGGATCCTAGCCGCCCCGGGGTGTCGGGGGGGCTCGCAACGCAAGCTCTCGGCGCTGTATCTTCTTAGGTATCGGCGGCAGAAACCTCTCAACATGCCACAAGAAAACGCGCGAGTGCTGCGGCGGTGTTCAAATTTTCAAAGTCTCCGATCCGCACGACCCTTGCTTTGCCGCCAGAACAACATCAACAACAGCGAGCCCGACAACCCTCGGCCTACCACCAGCAAGTAAGCAAGAAGAGCACTCCTCACATGTTTGTCTTCTTCACGTGCTGCAGGCCGTTCGGGAACCGAGGCTCCAGGGGGGAGGACGAGCGTGTGCCGGACTCGAACATGGTGTGGTTTGTGCTGGCCCGTCGTCGTCTTATGTGGGATGTGGTGAAAACAGCAACAACAACGACAACGAAGAGGCGATCCGCGTGTGTGTGTGTTGCGTATCTCCGAGCACCGACAGGATTCTCGCCAGCGAGGCCGGATTCCACTCCAAGCACCGTGGATCAGTGCTTGCCGTGTTCGCTTGCCGCGTCGTGCGCTGTTTTTTCTCCGCCGCTCGGTGTCGTTTGTCGGCGAGATGAGAAAGGTTGGTGGGATGGTGTGGTGGAAGTGTGTGTGGGATAATGATGATGTAGGTGCGTGAGAGAGAGAGAAAGCCCGAGAGCTGCTGGAGGGGGTACAAGTATTGAAAATCAGTAGGGTCTTTAAGATCATAATGAAAAAAAAAAAAGAAGTGCTAGAGAACTTTCGCAAAAAAAAAAAGTTTGTGCCACATGTCTTCCGCAAGCCCGGCCCCGCCAATCATCTTCCAAGTTGTTTTGGATCCGATGGATGACGAACATGCCACGCCGATTTTTCTGCACAGGGGATACGTCGGACCAGACGGCCGGTGTGCTCGCAAAAAGAAGCTCCGTGGTCGCTGCTGCTGGCCTACGCTCTCAGTATACTCTCCTCCTACTCTCCATGGAGCCCACCACCGGCGGCGGTCTTTATGATGAAAGAGTAGAGTCATCATGTTTGTGGTGCGTCGGGGGACGGTATGCAGCGGAAACTACTAACGCACATGTTGTAAGCTGAAGAAGTTGTTCTCGTATCTATGTAAGTAGTATACGTACGTCTGGTGAAAAGTGCTACCTGGTGAAGTGCTACCTGCTGCTGCGGCCGTATTGGTTGATGCTAGGATTCTGCGCCTCTCTCTCTCAGTCTTACATGGGCTCGAGCTTTCGAGAAACATGCGCACCACTCGGAGGCGCGTGCTTGCTGCGGACTGCACTCTTCTTCTTGGCAGCAAAGCAGGCACACACGCAGGCACACACGCTCTTTGTTTCACGAGCAAACACCGAGGGGCAGGAGGACCCCAACCAACAAGAAGCAAAACGCGAAAGTCTGACCGACGATCCGAGTCTCCTCGACGTTTCCACGCACATGCAAGAAGTTATGCGTTGGAGGAGCTGATGGGTGCGACGGAACAAACTGCTCTCCTCCCCCCACCGTCGCCGCGATGCGGATAGTAGAGAGGTTTATATACCACTACTATAAGTAGACATGGGACACGCCTCACTTGATGTAACAACACAACGTGGACGTGAATAACAGCAGCAGCAGCATCGCTGTGTACTTACCATACGCGCGAAAACGTTACGCAACGAACGGCTGATGACGTGTTTTCATCATGTTGTGTATGTATCCTTTTTTCATGTGGGCGCGTGCCTGGCTACATGGATGGTACCATTTTTTCACATACATACATACATCCGCATCAGACGCATGCGTGCATGCAGCGTGAGGTGGCGCCGCACATCCGTCCCTACCTCTATCACCAAGAAGCATCATCATCATTGCAGGTTCAGGAGGATCCATCTACTAATTTATAATAGTGTGCGTGTTCTTTAGATCTTCTGATGGCTTTAGCATTTTTGTGACCATCACGGGCCGAGTCTTTGCTAGATTTTTGGATTAGCAACTGACACGAGTTTAATGTGAAGAAAAACAACAACAAAAACAAATCTACTTGTTACAGTTTTATCGTGGAAGATGAGAGAGACTCCACGCTCTCTCTATCGAAGATTTTTTGTTCCTTTTTCGTTCGAGTTGATGTTACAATATATTTCCGTGTGCGTGCGTGCGTGTGTGGAGACAGAGGGATATATATTCAGTTCGATATCTCGGGGTGTCGTCAGAAGTAAGTGTCGTCAGAAGTAAGTCCAGAACATAAAGGCAGGCGGGTTGCTGTTCTCATATTTTATTTTTTTATTATCAACATCCCGTTCGACTGTGGGTAGACTATATCTCGAATGGGTAGTCTTTCTGTGTGTGTGTAATTATTATTCCTTAATCAATATGATCCAACGAATCCATCTCTACCATCTTTACTCTTTGCTACGACATACATACGTACATACATACATGTAGAAGACTCCACCACATCCCGTTCGACTGTGGGTCTATATCTCGAATGGGTAGTCTTTCTGTGCGTTGTGTGCGTGTATTTATTTTTCCTAGTATATCAAGTACTAATAATGCTGGTGGTAAAACATTGTGTGCTACTTCTTCGTAGTTTTTTAGATTGATTGACTTCGTAGTGTGGTTGATTGATTGTTATGCAAACAACAACAACACAGCAACGCGAACGGCATCGACCCGATCGATGATCACAACAACAACAACCAGCAAAACGAGACATACATCCACCCGATGAGATTGAGATGCAGCATGCACTACTACTATGTCATCATGTACCATGGTATTATAGTTGTGGCAACCGCTCGCTGGTGCTGTAGCTAGCATAGAGGCTTGCTTCTGTATACTACTCCTGTAGAGATTTTTGTTAATAAGAACCCTTTATTTATAATTAATTATTATCGTCCCGCCGATCGCGCCTGGCTGCCTCCCGTCGCTCCGTCCGCTATCTGTCGCCCTCGGACGCCCTTCCCTCTGCTTGACAACAATCAAAATAAATGTTTAAACACCCCGGCAACAACCAACCGCGGTTAGTTCTGATTCTGTTTCCGAGCAAGTTCCTTCCGTGCATTCATTCGCATTCGGTCGCTCGGTCTTTAAGTTTGTTTTTTTTTTCTTAGCATGACACCACGAAACCATCTCTATCATAGAAAAGAGTCTGAGACAGATTAGCAATGGATTCATAGCGTCAGAAAAAAATTTCTTTGTTTGAGAGTACCAACGAACCAATCGACACCAACCACACGACTTAACCTTTTTGTTGTTGCGGAACCAGGCGGAACGGCAAACAACGACTTGATTTGTATGCAACTGCTGCAAAACTGCTGTACTATTACGCTCGCTCAGGATACAGGGTGTATGTATGTGTGTATGTGAACAGCAGTCAAACCGCCGCGAGAAAACAGGCAGCAGTCAGTCAGCCATCGGTAGGCCACACACAGCTAGCTAGCTGTTGCATATTTTTCAAGAGAAGAATCTGGAGTCCATCTAACTGACGGACCTAGAAGTTCGTTGCTGCGCAGCAGGTAGTCTCAGGTAGTGAGGAGAGAATAAACAACAAGCACGCACGGCCACAAAGAGAGAGTACATAATATATGGCTTCGTAGTGCGGGCGCGGCTGACAGGACAAAAAAAAAATGAAGACGGCTCAACTCGGTTATTATAATAGTTGTTGGTTGCCGGCAATTCTAAAACTTCCACCACCACCTCACTTTGGGCGAAGAAGGTGAGAAAAAAAAATAGTACCGTCACACACCACACCACAGCAGTATTATTAGCAGTTAGAGGGAAGTTCGAACGGTAGTCACTTTTATTTTCAGAACGCTTTTTTCCGCCTTGCTTGGAGTAAACATGATTCATTTCATTCAACTGTTGTGTTTTTGAGAAAGAACCAACCGTTGTCGGCATATATTTCTTCCTCCGATGATAGTTATCTCCTCTACTCTCTTAATTACATCAACGCGGAACTACTGTATACATGTGAGGGTTCCACGGGGAGAACCAACGTACCCCAAAAGCGGTATATTCATTGGTCTTCTGCTATATTTTGCGCTGCTTGCGACAAGCTATGCACCACCAAGAGACAGCCGTCTGTCTGTCAGCCGTCTGTCTGTGTAATATATATGGTTGACCACATACATACATCCGTGCAGTACCCAAAGCGTTTCGTTTGTTTGGTGAACAGCGGGATCAGCAACCCCCCCCCCAAACCGGCGAGGGCGGCATGCTCGCTGCGGTGGGTACGGTAAAGTCCATCTATTTAGATGTATACTTCGCTACGCGATTACACCGAACGAACATCAACGCTCGAAGCATCAAGCATTAACAACAACAACAACAACAACAACAACAACAACAACAGCAGCAGCAGCAGTACTCTCGAAGGCGGGAACCGAGTACCAACATGGGGGGAGTACCACTTGGTTGGTTGGCGTAACTGCTGGGGTTGATGATAGTACTGAATCATGTGTTCCATCCCATCCTTTACACCATCTAGCCAATGACCCCCACGACCAGCAATTGCTTGTGTCACTATTATTGTACTACCGTCCGTAGCCCCGAGGGTAGGTTGGAGAATACAAGGTTGGTGTACTTTGACCGACACGTGCGGAATGTTCTGGCTTTGATACCGCTGGTGCCTACTGCCGCCCTCCTCCTTCCGCCAAACGGGGTAACCTCTACAGCACTATACGTATGTTTGCGCTGCTTCAAGCTCGGGCGCGACAACAACGAACAAATGGGCCAATCAACAGTCTACAGAACGATTGGGCCAATCACAAGCCTACAGAACAAACGGGCCAAATCAAAAGCCTACAGAACAAATGGCCCAATCAAAAGTCTTCACCGCCTTGGGGCCTTTTTCTGATGCCGCCCACTCGGTGTGGTTACCGGTGTCCAAGCGCCAAGCAAGCGCGTGGGGCCACAACAAGCAGGTGCGCCCTCAAACCGCCACCGTGCTCCCGACTAATTAGAAAACGCCCCAAGGAAAACGACGAAGTCAAAGAAACGACAAAACTCACGTCACTTGGGTGGTTGTCCTCACATTGAAAATGTTGTTTTCTCATCATAACGTCCGCTGGTCTCCACTAACGTGGGAGGCCTCACGTTAACACAGATCGAAGTCTCATAACCTCCCGCCCCATCCCGCCAATGAAAAAAATACTACTGGTACTAGAAAATGCAGTTGGTGGCAAGCAGACCCGACGCTGCGTCTCCTTTTCCCCTCCTTTTTCTAAGAAAAAAAACACAACCAACCAGCCTTACTTTTTCAAACATTCCAGATCCCATACAACACCTTAAAAAAAACACTCGAAAGCGTAGCGAGCATTGGAAACCAACCGGTTAGTCCGTCATCATGAAAGCCGAAGCGTCGCAGATCCCCCGGCCTGCCGCTGCCGCCTCCGCGGCTCGGTTCGGCTGGGCTTGGTCCGATACGGCCTTGGCGACCTGGTAAATTTACAACGGCGGCCACAAACGGCCATCGTGTTGTGCATCGCGTCGGCACACGGAGGCAAGAGGGGAAGCAGACGGGTTGGCTAGGTAGCGGGAGAGATGTTTTTTTGTTCACATGCGCGGCGCGTTTTTCTTGCTCTTCTCGAAGTGCCGGCACATGATTGTACAGCAGCATTTTCCAGCGACTTGGGACTCCTGGGACTTGTTCTCCTTCAAAACTTGGAGTAGGAGCTAGGGCAACGGCTATCCATACCACAACCGACCAACAATGAATGAAAAACTGCTTGTTGTATTCTTGAGACCGTTCGTTGTCGATAACTTGATTTAAGCATCGGACTGGATTAGGCCTCCTGCCCGGCTACAATTGTATCTCTTTAGTTTTCCAGTGTCCTCTAGCGTTCTATTCAGAGGTTTTGGTTTGTTCGACGAGACACACGTGCCAACGGGTGTACTGATTTCAAGTAAATCGGGGGGGGGGCTCTGCAGCTGGTAGTGTTCCCTGCCGGATTTGCTTCCATGTGATTTGGCTCCCAGTTTTACTATTTTCAACTAGTAAAAGAGATTGTTCCAGGTAAAACAATTCCAGGTAAAACAGTAGGCACACTACCATGCGGCATCGTAGGGATACAGTAGTACGACCCTTTTTCGTGCGTGAGGCGGTGAAGAAGGTGAACGCCAACCGACTGGACACGGGGCGTCGCCGACGTCTAAATTGCCTCTGTGTAGTTTTGTTTTTCGTGGTCTGGTTTGTCAGAGAGCCGAGACCCGGCGACATAGTAGCGTGTGAAGCTCAAAGGGGTAATAGAGGGAGGGGGAGGGGATTCCAGCATGGACGATACTTCTTCCACACGTTACAGCGGGCAGGGAGATAGATCCGTCCAGCTTGACGTGACTTCAATAGTGGATCGCGATGAAAAAAAGAAAGAAAGAGCGCCCAGGCGTTGTCAGCAGTTGCCGTATCACCCCCGGTAGGCGGCACGGTCGCCCCTCCATCTCGGAAGGGTGACATCGGCCGACCGAAAACTGACCAAAGCCACGGCAAAGCGAGCAGCAGCAACGAGACGATTGCATGTACGCCACAGTATCGTCAACTCTAACTACCCACCATATCCTCAACCCTATAACCACCCACCACTATCGTCAACCCTAATCACCCCCCTCAACATTGCTCCCCGTCCGTCCGTCCGTCCGTCCGTCCCACCTTCAAGTACCCCACCAGCCTCTCCTGGGCCGTCTCGAAAGCCCCCGCGAGGCCACCGGCGGTTACCCACCCCTCCTTCTGAGTCGTCGGGGGCCCCTTCGACCGTGCGAGGCTCGCTTCGCTGAGGGCGAAAAGACGGTCTATCGAGGCGTACGGGAGGTAATCCGTCCCGCCGTCCTTCTCTGGCACCTGTCGGGTTTTATTACGACGACGATGATAGGCGGTGTGGGAAACCGAAAAATGCGCGGTAAGGCATCACCCGGATGGGACCTGCAAATTTCTCGTGGCAAGGTGGGACGGTGTGGGTACCTCTATGTTTCGCGGTATTTCCGCGGTAAATATACCTCCCCCCGTGGCTGCATCCACGGGACTCCCAGCCTTGAGCTGTGAAACGTTTTTATTATTCAGGGGCACCGCGACGTGCAAAATTGCGTGTAGCTAGTCAGCGCCGAGGCCCGGTCACACACGAGTAGGTCTGCAAAGGTGCGGTCTTCGACTCTCGTGTCGCCTTTGGGCAGTTGCTGTTTGATGTTTCATGTTCAAGGAGGTCGCGATCGCCATCGCCATCAACACCGTCCACCATAGACAGCAACGACGATCGGAACTACTGCTGTGCACAGGAGCGTATCGTTAGTTCAGTCAATCGGGCGCGCCGCGTCATTGACGGCGTTCAACACCCACACCATCGCAGGAACGAGCTCCACGCCACACCACACCACACCACACCAACAGATGAGGGCACCACTTACATCCTCTCACAACAGCAACAACAACAACAACAACAGCAACAACAACAACAGCAACAACAACAACAGCAACAACAACAACAGCAACAGCAGCAACAACAACAACAACAACAACAACAACAACAACAACAACAACAGCAGCAGCAGCAACAACAACAAAATTCTACGCGGGCAGCGCAGTGTACGTCAATTCACTCACAAGCTCTGTGAGGGCGCCGATGTCCCCAACCTCCCGGGTGTCGAGTACCCTCGACAGGAACAAACACGCCTCCTCCAGGCGCCCGTCCATCACGTACCTACGTAAGCCATGGCCCATACCGGGGATGAGGGAGAGTGAGGGTGGAAAGAGAAAAGGGGGTGAAAGAGGGGGAGGCATGAGCGGACCGTAGGCGGGAGGGAGGCTTGGTCGTTGCTCTGAAAGCGGGACAGTTGCTGCCGTTCCGCGGTGCACTCGATGATGGCTGTCCAGTACCATCTCTTAGTCGTCTCTTAGGCCGGTGGGCAACCAAACCGCTCCGCACAGGTCTGACAAAATAGATTACAATACCGTGAAAAATGAAAGAACTGAAATTCCTCACTCGCTGCGAAGACTTCGACACGTCCTTCGACTGCTGTGGCTATTTCTCGGCGCCCTTCGCGCGTTTAAAAGTTGACGAGGAAATAGGACCGCCTACGCAGGATTTTTAAGAGTATCTAGAAAAAGATTAGGGAGGGGGCACGCAGACCCTATCCATAACCCTAACCCTAAAGCACGGCACGGATTGAATACTTTATCTCGTATGTTTGGTTAATCAATTTTGCTTCGTAGACTACTGAGGAAATACGACAGGGAGGGGGTATTTTACCTAATTTGACCCTGCCCAATTGCATACTTTATCCAACATGTTGACATATTATGAAAAAACGTGCAAAGGCTACTACGGCTATATCTCGAACGGGAGTCTCTTGATTGCATGCACAACTTAAAAAAATCTCAGAAATACCACCGTAGCGGGACGGACACTGATTGGCCTAAAACCCGCTCCAAGCAAGGGCCCTATCCTCCCAAACAAACTCACATATCGAGCAGCTTTGTGGGGTCGGGGCCGCTGGCGCCGTTCCCCCCCCTTCCGGAGGTGAAAGCCTTCCACGGAGCGAGGAGAGCCCGGGGTTGCGGCGGCGGGAAGGCGTTGGCGTTTGCGGGGGGGTCCGGCAACTCCTGGCCCAAGCCCAGGTACGAGTCTTCCACCCATCGTGGCAACTAGTCGCACCGAGAATAAGACCAAGTTTGGGGATAAAAGGACGCCGGGGGGCGGGGCGGTGTGTGTGTTAGGGGGGGGGGGGGGGGGGGGGCCCCCTTTTTTTGAGGGCCTTAAGGGTAAAACCTTTAAAAACCCCCCCCCCAGGGGGGGGGAATTTTTTCCCCAGGGACCAAGTTTTTTTTTCCAATCCCCCGGGGGGGGGGGGGGAGGGTTTTTTATGGTGAATTTTTTTTTGCAAAAAACCCCCACCCCCCCCTGGGGGGAGAAACAAAAAGAATTTTCG